TTGAGAAATGAGCAATTGTGCTATTGATTCAAGAATGTTTTTGTTTCTTTTACCTTGCACATAGAATAAATCATCCAAAAATTACAGGGATAAAAATTGGGGGAAGATGCGAGAACGAGTAAAAATGGCAATCTTTACTTGACTGTCTTTCTTCTCCAAACTTTCAACGATGAAAGAAATTTGTTGGTTGCCACCAAGAGTTTGAAGTTTTGATCATTTAAACAGCAAGAAAAAATATGTTAAAAACTTGAAAAAATAGTTTTCAGACTTCACATTTAAACCTGAGGAAATAAATTTTATTGGAATTTTTAACTGATCCATTGCCTGAATCGAGTGTCTGAATTCGGAGTTACTGCATTCAATAATTTGTCCGTTTTCGGTGAGCAACGATTTTGGAAAAATCGAGAATTATATGATGGTGGAGTGGGCAATTCACTAAATGGTGTTAGGCTACGTCAGTTATTTGCTTTCCTAATCTGTAAATTCCAAAGCTAAGTCGAACTTGGTTGAACGTGATTAATTATGTTTTGGTCAACGGAAGTGTGACCATGATTAATCAAGTTATTGTTTTCTTCTTTTATACCTGTCCATTGCCATCGGCAATCGGGTAGCACACGTGGAAGATCTGGCAGTTGTTGTCCACGTCGGCGTAGTATCCGTAAATCCGACCTGAGCAGTCGAAGGTGGTTCTGAGCTGGGCACCAAGGAGCAAGTCTGACCCATCGGGCAACTGATAGGCCATTCTTCCGTAAACTGCGCCTCCGACCAGGACTAAGCCCAGGATTACGGTTGAGACGGTTCCGGTGAGTGACATATTCCTTTGTTTTCTTTTCGAGGTGCGAAAAAAAGTTAGCACGCTTTTTTTTCACGAGGAAGTGAGGTTCGGGGATCAACTTTTAGTAACCTGTGAAATTAGAGTTGGAATTTGCGTGAATATAATGGGATGAAAGCAGTAGTGACATCTATCTAAGTTTCCGTGTATCGCTTCTTCAAGCGTTTCTAGCATCGGAAAGCAGGGCTCGTTCTTCCGCGCTGATCTCTGTACTGTATAAGCTTGGACTTCTTTTTATTAATAATCATCAATATTTCAAAGGGATAGTTCGCTTGATCGGTTCGAAGAAGTAGATAGCGAAGGCATATTTCTTCGTTTTTTGTCGCTCTTGAAACAATTCGCAATGTTTGGAAAATATTGAGCACGTACATGCATGGTCTTTCGCGAATGAATATATTTTTTTTCTCTTCATCGAACTTGACTGAAATTCGTGCCGAAATAAATTTATTGGGTGGGAAACAATTTCAGAAGCGAAGTCTGCATTTTTCCTTTTTTCGTCATTCTAGAGACTCTTGCAGTGTAATTATCTGAGCTAGTTCTTCTGCGTGTAAAATTTTTGTTTTTCTTTTGTATCCTTGTGAGTATGAGGTGAATTCAGCCTATTGAAGTCAAAGATATAAAAAAAAATTTTAACCGTGAATCAAGATTCTTTGCGGAACTCATTGCATTTATGTTTTTGACGGATGATACCGGAAAGAAATTTATTTCACAATTTTAGATATTTTTGACTTTGAAAACTGGCAGCAGGTAAGAAATTTTGAAAAATTAGCAAATCAATCGATAATGGGAAAAATGTTTCTTCGGCAGTTTTCTATAATCTGCAAGAAGTCTTCGGCGTAATTTCAATTCAAAGTAGAGGCGTTAACTTCTCGGGTTCGACTGCCTCGTGTCTTACGTTACAATCTGACGAAATACATTCAATATTGCATAAAACTCAAATTACTCAAACACACGACCAACATTTTTCCAAATCAAATCCAAACCCAAACTAATTTGAGAAACCGTCGTAAATCGTTTCAGTCATGCCGGTGCTGAATTAAAATGCTGATGTTTTTCTGTTTATCCACCTCATCCCCTTGATCTTCTCATGAATTCTCATTATTTTGATTGTTTCTGGCTTTTCTTGAGCCACATTTTATTGCCGCAAAGAATTTGCGGAATCGGTAGAAAGTGTTAATTTACAGCGCATGATTGTAAGTACAGTACTGTGCAACGGTTTTCGTTGATGAGTATCACATCACTATTATAGTGTGCGATCAGATTTTTTGAATTCTCGAGAGAAATTTCATAATTATGTAATAATACACATTTTGCGGAAACCAGTATTCGGAAATATGATGCCTGCTGAGGATTGTCATTAGATCAAACTGATGCAGCACATTCTTGCATAAAAAAATGGATCATGAATCCAGATTAAATGTGTCTTAAAGCGTTGTAACCTGATATGTTCGTATGCGTGTACATTTTCGCCGTTGATGAATTTTTTACGGAGAAAAGCAAATGATGAAATGACCTCTAGAAAGTTCGTTAAAATTTTCTTGTTCAAATCGTTTTTTTCTTCCAATCATCTTTATCGCAATTTTCTTAAATAATTTTTTCTTCTGAAATTTTCCTTCGAGTAGTGAAATATTACTGTACTTGGGAAGCTGTTGAGCTTAAGACTTTCCCGTCGTTTCCAATTTTTTGTTGACATCTAAAACTTGAATCATATACACTCCTACAAGACCAAATTTGGACAATATTGTTGGACTTTGTCATACGATAAATAATTTAGGATGGACGTTGAAAAAAAAATATTTTCAGAATGAATAGAAGCAATACTGCCATAATCTTTAAAAAGGAAGAATAAACTTTTCTGAATATTTCCACTGCTGATTGAGTTTAAATGGAATTTTACTTGGCTATATGTTTTAGATTATAAAGCATTTGAATTATACATTCAGACTTCCCCCCCCCCCTTTATTACTTGGCAAATAATCCAGCATTGATTTAAAACGTTTCCTCCTCAATTTTCTTGAAACACTCAAGAAATGTATTTTCGAAATTTACTGACTTGAAAATTATTCAGGATGCGATCGAAAACAAAGAAAGATTTTTTTTATGCGCAAAAACTTGAAAAAAATAATCTTCCGCTTTTGGAAGAACTTTTGGATGAGACGAATTTGAGATTGATGGTCAAATGAAAGATGTGCGTGGAACTTGACAAATTATCTGAAAACACGTCCCACACATTCTTATCAGACCGCTATTGAAAGATATACTGTATGCTTTTGACAAAGTTGCTGTCCTCACTTCAAGTGCGTGTAAGTCTATTTCATGTAAAGATAAATCTCGTTACAACGAATGCCGTTGGAACCAGTAAAATCCGTTATAAAGACATTTTAAATAATATTGTAACTGATGTCTTGGGCAGTGACTAAAGAACGAATTTGCTGTAAGCGATTCTTTGTTATAACGAGGTTCTACTATACATGCTATAAAGTGAGACCTCCAGATGTGGACATATTTGGCACATCAAGAGTGTCCCCAAGTCAAAATGTCCGTAAGTTGAGTCTCGTTTTCCGTTAGACTTACATTATATAATTTTTAATTGGTGTTTCATGGAAGAAATATTCTTTAGAATTCCATGAAAAAAAAAGTTGCTGCTTGAATTTGAATCAGTCAATATCTTTTCAACTCAATAAGAACATTTGGAGCATTGATTTGTGTACGTCTGTACAGTACATTGAAATGTTGGCATCTGTAAAAATAACATTCAAGTCACAAAGAGAGGAAAAAGTCCCCCTATGCTATGGGTAATTTTTTTTTAATTATCTGAATGGATAGGAAAATGATGGTGGAATACCAAATAATTTTTCTGGAATAGATCTCGGGGTTGGAAATATCTATTTCTCACAAATAAGCCTAACAAAAGTAAATTTTCCTGAAATTTATCAGCAATTTTATAGTATCCTCATGTTGAGTCAGTGTCCATATGTTTGGCCCTTTTTATGCCTTTTTTATTGAAAAATAAATGTCCCTATGTCGAATTTTCCGCATATTGAGGTGTTCGCATGTTGGGGTCTCACTGTACACACATATATATATATATATATATGTGTATATATATATTAAAAATGTATTTACAATGAAGGTACTGTATTAGGACCAGTAAAATAGGTTCGATGAAAGAAAAATTTTGTTATAAATGAACTCATTGAATAGCGTGACTATTGGGCAGGGACCTGAGAAATAAGATTTCGTTGTAAGCGATTATTCGTTGTAACGAGTTCCGTTTTAACAAGATGCTACGGTATTTCAAGCATTTTTCATTCAACCTTGGAGAATCTCTGTGTCTGCTGACGACGCATAAACCAGTTGAGCCGACCATCTGCCACAGCGCCAATCAAAGAAGAAAGAAAAAAAAAGTCCTTTCATGTAAAATTAAATAAAAACATGAATCAGTTCTTCTGTGGCAGAACGAATAAATAATTGCGGCATGTGTATATGAAGATGCGTGAGGGTATTCATATTCGTGTGGAGTGGATCCCGGAGTACCCGAGAAGCTTCAATCCCTGTTGGCTCTCGATTACTCAATTCCTTGACCTCGCGTGTCTCGGGGGTTTATTGCCCCGAGGCATGACTGAGAGGCTGAACTTGCGCATATTGCGGGGGCATCCGAGAAAGTATTCAAGTTTCGCTCGAAAAAAAAGAAAAAAACCCCTATCGACTTTTCGAAGAACCCTTTTGTGACGCGTTGCGAATTTTTTTTCTTTCTTGAGTTTGTTCTCATCCTATACGTTCCGCTGAAAAGCCATCATTTGAATTTCAGATTTACACTGAAATTTGATTGCATTGAAAGCAATCGAATGTGAAATTATATTACAACGAATGTCATACTACAACATTTTGTAATTGCAATACTTTTCGAAGGTCCCTGCGAAAATGACTGAAAAACAAGGATCATCACTACATTTGTGACACTTCGAGCCATTTTTTCTTGAACCTACAGCTTGTAATTTGTTTCCTGATTTTTGATAAACAATTTTCGTTTCATATTGACATTTTCTTCTCTAAATCTTGTAATTTCATTCTCATGCGATTATTTTTCTAAATACTATCATGGCAATAAGTGAGAAAATGTACACTTGACGTGAAAATTTATCCGATGAAGCCTCCGTCAAAGTAAATTTTTAATTTTATGAAGTAAAATAAATTAATGCTCTTTACAAAAGCAAAATTCGGAAAACTTGCTGTTAATTCTTTGCAGCTTATAGATCCTTGGACGATGTTTCGGGTTACTCGGCGGTACTGTACCAAAAATGGTGTGTTCTTGGGTCACAAAAGGACGTTGTTATACTGTAATTTCATTCTATTGAAATAATTTTTTTATAGAATGCCGTGGCCAAGGGGAAAATTTTGCACTTCCCCCAAAATGTGTAAGAAGAAGCTCCTTTTGAAGTACAGTACTGTACAGAAAATGTATTTAATGTATTGGAGCGCATGGTACGTGAGGGACAACTTACTGGAGGAGCCGGAAACTTATTTGCGTGTCATTCACAAATTATATTCATGGTTTCAAAAACATGGGGCGCATTTCGTGCATGAAGTGGCTACTGCTGGTGAACATTCCAAGAGCAGACGGAAATCTGTTATAACAATTTAATCTGATTTTCTGAGGACTTAAATCTAAAATTCAATCAATTAAATTCTAACTAGTTTTCGATTCGTTGGCAATATATTTATAATCTGGATTTTCACGTTGAAACGGTTCCATCTACAGCAAATAAGCTATTGAACGAATAACTGAAATTCTTGGAATCAATGGTCTCATCATCACCAGAATTTTGTGCAGACTGTTTTAGTGATTTTCAAAATTGAGATTCTCTGGAAAAAAAATTATATCCGAATCCAAACCCTTGTAAAGTGCATTCTTACTTTTTTTCATACCGTAGACATATTAGAAAATCTCCTGACTTCTTATTCAATTCTGACGAATTGGCCAAAAGTCCAGACTTTCGTCTCATAACTATTTGTTTTACTGTACATACAGTATTTGGAAAATCATATGATACGTTTGTTGATATTCTGCTGCAATCTCAACAA